TTACAACACCACATGGGGATTCGTGGACAAGCCCGGACGCACTCGATGGACCGAGTCCGAAGCAGCGCGTGGAGGGGTTGCGATTTTACTGAATCCGTACTCGTCGATTACTGAGATGGAACCGTGGCATGAGATACATTGGACACCGCACTGGATGGCTGTTCAAATTAATATTCGAAGCGAGACCGTTCTTGTTGTCAACGTATATGCCCCGAGTGGTAAGCCTGAACGGGAGGCGTTTTTCGAGATGCTTCGCCATCACCTGCTGGATCACGACGGACTCTTGTTCGTGGGCGGGGATTTTAACTGCACATTGGTGCCTCGACTTGACCGATCTTTTGTCTCGCCGCCCGGCAGACATGATTCGCAGGCACTGAGACGGCTTCTAGGTCGCGCACAACTTTGCGATGTACTCGAAGATGACATGGAGCGAGCGGAAGAAGAGAGGGCCGTAGCAGCCTTTCATGCGGCGGCACACACCTATTTCTACACTTTGCCTGGAGGTGGATCAGCCAGTTCTCGACTTGATCGGTGGTACGTGAGTGCTCTTCATGCTGATTGGGTTCGAGACGTCGATCTGTCTGTACCTGGCCCAGCCGCTGACCACAATGGAATCAGTATACGGATTGGGGCACCAAGTCATGTTGTGCGCGTACGTAAGCCACGGAGCGTATATCCAGTGCCGGGCTGTGCACAAGCGGCCGCGACCAGCGCCATTATTTCGGCCATTGAGCTGGCACAGATTGAAGTTGATGAATCCAGCTCAGTTCCGACGTCGGACTATCGAACGGCTAGACGATTGGCCGACTGGTGGGATGGATGGAAGATCAAGTTACGCAAAGTTCTTGTGGCGACTACAAAGACAGCCCGCCAAGGTCTGACGCGCAGCTACAGACAGCGGCTGAAGCGCCTCTATGTCCGTCTGGATGCGGCGCTATTGGAGGCGCGCTCGTCAGCTACCTCAATAGCGTGTGCTCAAACGATATGCGACCAACCCAGCCCCGTCGATAATCCTGCGGAACTTCGTCGAAACGTTGCGGAGTGTCGACGATTATGGCAGAGAACCAAGAAAGAGCGACTTCTTGTCCAGCACACATACTCTCCAGGCGAGACTTCTCGTCGTTTCTTCGCGCGGGTGTCGACAAAATTTCAGGACAACACTATCGTTTCTTTGGGTGGACAAGCTACATACGGGTCGAATCGGTCGCAGGAATTGGCAAATGAAATGGCAGACGGCTGGGAGCATCTTATGACTCAATTTTTTGATTGTCCAGATGCTACCGCTGCATTTCTGGAACGAGCCTCCACACCGGTCCGGGTTGATGACTCTATAGTGACGTCAGCTATATCTCCTGAAGATGTGTGTGCGGCTTTGAAGAGACTCCAACGTGGGAAAGCCGCAGGACCAGATGAAATCAACAACACCTTTTACCGTGATTATGCTGACGCGCTCGCGCCAATTCTCGCAGCACTGTACACTAGATGGATGGAGTGCAGCGTGTTTCCGACGTCTTTTGGTGAAGCGAACATTCAGTGTCTAAAGAAAACCGCGGCTTCCGCCTTGCCTCTTGATCATCGGCCGATCACGCTTCTCAACAGTGACTACAAGTTATTTACAAAGATCCTTTCGTTTCGAGTTCGGCCGATGCTGTCGCATATTGTTCTGCCAGCTCAAGTTGGTTTTGTCCCGAAGCGGTCGATCCATACAGCTCTTGACATTTTTTCGGCGGTTCGCAAAGCGGCGAGTGCTGACAGCGATCTACACGGATCCATTGTTCTTCTTCTCGATTTCGCCAAGGCATACGACACGTTGCAACGTCCGTTTCTACTTTCGGCGTTGACTTGGCATGGCTTCTCGCCAAAATTCGTAGCAGTCGTGGCGGCATTACACCGAAACACGACATGTCGATTTATTGTGAATGGGTACCGTTCAGCAGACGTGACGTTCACTGCGGCATACGGCAAGGGTGCCCTCTTGCTCCTCTTCTTTTTATACTCGCCTTCGATAGTGTCTATCGAGTGATTCAAGAGAGGGATGAAATCCGCGGGATACCTCTTACTTCTGGGGGGAGAACCACTGACATTAAAATTTCGGGATACGCTGACGACACGGCGGTTTATCTTCGCGATCGGTCTGCGGTTTTGCCTGTTATTACGATCCTCGAAGACTTTGCAGCTGTTTCCGGTCTGCTGACGAATCGAGCGAAGTCTATTATCATTGAGCTTGACCCTCGCGGATCATCTTTGCCCTTGGACGCGTGTGGCCTCAATGTACAGTCTTCAAGCGGATCATGCAGGTATCTTGGTGTACTTGTTGGCCAACAGGATGCGGTAGCTGACAACTGGTGTAAATGCATACGATCTCTATGGTGTCGACTTGCACTAGCACGAGAGAAGACTCATACGGTGGAACAACGAGCTCGCATCGCTAGCGCCATCGCGGTGCCCAAAATTACCTACTTAGCACGGCACTGCTGGCCACCTCCCGCCATGATTAATAGATTGGAGGGCTTAATTATGGACTTTGTATGGGGCGTCCATGATGGCAAGAGGTCCCGACCGTGGGTCCCTTCAGAGATGGCTTCACTACCGATACAGCAAGGTGGGCTATCGGTGCCGTGTATTCGTACGGAATTAATGACTATGGCGGTAACCGCTGTTGGACAGTGGGAAGCTACAGCTTCTTCGAGAGATTTACTGATCGGAGACTTTCTATGGGGCTCTACTGATTCGGGTCCGGCTTACATCACGCCATGTTGGACCCAAGACCAGGAGCCTCGACTCCAAGTGACGCTATGGTTAACCGGTTCTAAAATTGTTGGGCTTTCAGCTGCTCGACATGCCCGCCAAGGAGAGGTCCAGGAGGTCTGCCGAAGGGCCGCCTCTTTTACATCAAGAGCCTTAATCGACTATAATGGAGACGGTAGTGTCACAATTGATGTCCGCCGTATACTTGATGACAAGTTGCGGGCCGGGATGAGAGCTGAAGTAGCGACATCAGGTCGTTTTGAACCCAGATGAATCGTACACGCAACGCTGACGGACATGTCGTGGCTGAGGGATCGCAGAGGCAAGGCTTATACTTTGAATGGAGCGGATTTTGCGAGGGGGCACAAGTACCTTGGCGACATATTCACCTGGAAGACGACTCAGAGTGGTATCGTCCGATTTTCGCCCAAGCGTGACATGGCTACCCACTCTATGGCGAAGCGTCGGCATTTTGGGAACTTCTGCCTTGCCCTTCTATACAATTTTCCAGCACTCGTATACAGGTCGTTTGAATCGGGGACATTGTTGGCGTACTCGACAAAGGTCCACCAATATCATACTTGGCTCCTCGACCGAGACGGTACATCGGTATCGCACTTCGACACGGGTATAGCGGGTGGGGTGGCTACAGTCTCATCTATGGCTGCTTGCGATACCGCAGCGTGTCTGGACAGTGGAATTACTGTCCACTTTGGTGCGCATCCAACGCTTACGCGTGTTGTACACCTATGGGCTGGCCGTCGAAGATGGAGGCCGCAACGACGAAAATTCAAAAAGATCATTTCCCGCAGGCGAAGTGATGAAGGCAAACGCATTTGCGACGAACGCGTGAAGAAGCCGGACTTCCAAGTGATTGCAGCAGGTACATCTCTGATCGAGTGGAGAGACATCCGTAAAATACGGGCTTCTTTCCCGACCAACGCGCAGACGCTTTATCGTCTGAAGAGTAACAGCTTCCCGCTATGGAATTGGGCTAACCAAGATCGATCTTGCCCCGACCCAGCGTGTCCGACATCCTTACTGGCCATGGCTAGTCATGTATTCTGGAATTGCCCTAGCGCTCGGCGTCATTGGGGTTATCTACTTGAACGGTGGCGAAAGCTAGGCGATTTGGAGGAGGCGGACCTTCACGTCTGGGTGTTTGGCATGGACCTTCCGAGTATTCCGAGTTCTGCATGGAATGCCATTAAAAACGCTATCGAACCCAGTGTAGATTTGTCTCGAGCGAAGGACGCCGTTTTTCCAGCAACGCGTGAGCTCTGGCGTTTTCTCGTTTCTACGACACTACATTTCATCTGGGCTGAGCGTCTCCGCCGCTTGGAAGACTCACTTTTGCCACAGGAAGTACACGACGCAAGAGCAAGGACACAATTTCGACGAGCGGTTACAAGGTTTCGAAGTTCAACATATCAGTCGGACATGGGGGTAGACGGATACCTATTCGCACGAGTACGGTCGGCGCTTGCTGATATCCTCATCGGCTTTGACAATCCTCCACCCTTGCGAGCGCTGCCGCTTGACACTCTATCTGGGGTTTTCTACCTGCTCTTCTTCGACGGGGGGGGGGTCAAGAGGAAATCCTGGACCGGGCGGAGCAGGTTCCGTCATTGTCCAACTTCACATTCAGACGCACGCAGCATGCGTCGTGTGGGTATCGAGCATGGCTTACGGTTCTGCAAATACCACGAACAATGTCGCTGAATACTGGGGGCTCGTGCACGGGCTTCGACAAGCGAAGGTTAGCGGCTACTCACCTCTCCATGTCGTGGGGGACAGTGCGCTCGTGCTTTCGCAGCTTCGGACGCACCATCCTCCACGCAAGCCACACCTGGCCCTTCTTTTCCGAGAGGCAAGAGCACTTGCTGACGATATCGATGTCTCCAGCTGGGGACATCACTATCGCTCATACAACAAAATGGCGGATCGACTGGCGAATATCGCTATGGACACTGGAACCTCAATTCAAGTGCACGCTTCCGCTGAGGAGGTGTTGTCAAGGAGGCTTCGGCATTCCTTGACCATGATGTCAACCACTGGCTGGAGGCCTCTCAAGCCGACAACTACGAACCTCAGGGACCCGCTATGACGCCACGGAACCTGATCATCTCGAGACAAGACTCTGCGCGACGACGCTCAGCTGTCCGAGGACTAGTTATACCTAGTATTTAAAGTAGAAGTCGCCACGGTAACTCTGTTACCTGTCGACAGGATATAATGGGTCGTACGCGTACTTAAATATACCTCACCTTCTCACTCACTGTAAGCTCTGGAAAAAGATTAGTCGTCATATCGTGATCCCTGACGGCGTCGTACAGTAGTATCGAATCTGTGACGCGGTCGTAGCGAAGTCGTTGATGGCCATTCACAATTGACATCTTCCGGCTCGGGTTGTTGCTGTAGACAAGTCTCTCACCAAACTTGACCTTGCGCTTGAGAGATCGACCCACTCCATCTTGTATGAACCCCCCATTCGGGACACCCGTGATGTCTGCAAGTGTATTCAAGATATCGTATTGTTCGGTAGGATCGTCAATGACGAGTGCATCGGCACCAACCAGTCGTCCTTCAGCAATAATGCTGCCAGCTACACGAGTCACAGATCCATCGCGATCCTCAGGAACGTCGGTTCCAAACTCAGGTGCCTGTCCATGATCGCCTACAATGACGACGATGGTGTCATTGAGAATACCTTGCTTAGCCATGCGGTCCATAAAATTTCCCAGCTCCATGTCTGTGAAATACCGCATTTCCAAGTAGTTCTTAATGACGTCTGCGTACGGCTGCCCCTCGTACAAAGCCGAGAAATCTGGTTTTACAGCTTCATCAAACCATCTTGGTCGCTCCGTATAGTCCGTATGGCTGGAAATGGTGTAGTGCGTGAGGAAAAGCGGCTTTTTGGGCTTTTTGTCGACAACACGCTTATTCTGCTCTCTGGTCTTGTTGATCATGAGATCACCTAGAAGCTGAAAGCTCAAATCGTCGTGTACGCCCCAGTCGAGACCGCGATGGTCGGAGCCAAACCACTCGTCAGGTTTGATGCCCAAGTTGATCATTGCCAATTCTATCATCTCATTGCGGCTCCAAACAGTGTCAAACCCATGTGTCGGAAGAAAGACATCCCAGTTATCGTAGTCCGTCTTACATCCTGTGGTGAAGAACGTCTCGTACCCTTTTGCCGTGAAGAGTTGTGGTAAACCAAACAGTTTAGTTTTTTTCCGACCTCCGGTCGTTCCTGTCTTGGTCGAGCTATCATACGGAAGCTGAGCAAACAGCAGACTCTCCACGGAGCGACTCGTTCGCCAACTTGACCAAAGGTTACGAAGCGCCACGCCACGTTTGGCCCATCGGTCGAAGTTTGGGGTGATTGTCAGGTTTGTGCCCTTAAACAGATCGGATGGGTCTTCTTCTCCGACGAGGTAGTGGGAATCATGGTGTCTGAACGACTCGACTACAATCAGTAACACGTTAGGCGGGTCGTTCGGAGTCACGGTGACATCGAATGCAAGTTCTCCGTGAAACCCTGTAGTTTGTCGATACAATGAGTTGCTGCCAAACAACGTATAGTCCTCGGTTGCTGTGTGGATAAATTTCTCGGGTGACGGCAAAGTGCCGTCCATGTATAAAAGCGTGGGTTGCAAAACTCCGCCAAACAATCCATTCAACGAAGTATTCAATGCTAAGTACGCGATGAGCGGCGAGCTTACGCTACTAGCCACCACGACGATAGCAGACATAACTAAAAGGCCAACAATCACAGTAGTCCCTTCCTGTAAGCGCAACTTCTTTGTAATACGTTGGCTTGTAAACGAAATGTTGTCGACCTCGGCGTTGTCCTGATCCAACATCTTCTCCGTCTCCATATTCTCAACAGGTTTACCGATCTAAACGACCGTGTCTTCGATAACGACACCATTCTGTATCACCTTCTTCTTGAACGTCACGCACCTCGAGCTCAAATCAGCTTCGTCCTCGTTCGTTTCGAGCTTTTCGTACAGTCTCTTAGTACCATTACTTTGACAACAAATAATATGCGAAGGATTCCAGGAAGTTAGATCCATCCACGGAACTCACGTCCGCATACTCGCAAACAATGTAGCAGCCACTACAAGTACTGCACTATGCAAGAAAGCTTGATTCACCTCGTCAGTAGAAATCGGGACTGCGCTGATACTATTCTTCTCATCGATTGCCATTTTGACAAAAGCAAACGTAAAGCGCATGGCCCTTACCCGCACAAGTAGTAGATATACCGAAAACGGAATCATCACAGTGATCCAAAGCAGCCAAGAGACTGCAAACGTTGCCACATTGCCGATGGATGTCACGGAGGTTCCACTGTCTTTCCAGTCGCCAAAATCTCTACCAACGTAGCGCTTCAGGATGTCAAACAGCCACAAAACACTGATCAAGTACGTCGCACACACAAAGTCCTCAGCAAATCCAAGCATTGTAGCTCCTAGGAGAACACTGAGTGTTGCTTCTTTGGTCGTTCCGTACATTCGAATTAACGCGGTCATTGAGATCTGACGATAGAAAAAGAAGAAGAGGAGAACAAAGCCGTAGATGAAGGCCCAGCCGCTCCATGGACGAATTGAGAGCTCCAAGTTCATCCGATTCATCAGCCCCAATTTCGTCAACTTTGTCGGCTCCCACTTCGTCGACTCGTTCACCTCGGTCTCCGATACGAAACGATCGGTCTCGACATCAACTGGTACGTCCGATTCTTCTACTTGAAGTGGTTGATGTTCAACGTTTTCATTGCATGTGAGCCTAAGCATCAATAAAGTGCTCAAAGACTGCACTGGGTCGGGTATAAAGTAAAACTGAGGTTGAAAAATGAGCAGCTCTTATTAGAAATTTCATCAGCCGACAGGTACGTACGTACGTACGTACTACGTCGATAGGACAACTCTGATCCACCGGAAAACTAGATTAAGTTGGACAGGTTCTACTGGAGTTCTCAAAACGAGCGTCTCATTGTAACGAGGTGAGCCTGTCACATATATTATTGACACGACCATGAAAGTGTTGTCAATATGAGTAGCTGATAATATGAGATACTCTACTCTACGGCCACGAGAAATTCAATCCGCACCCATCACTCCTATGATCTATCTTTAATAATATAAAGAAGAACGAGAAGGTGCTGCATAAGCTCTGCCTTGGACTGAGTGAAGATATTGTCTGCAATCGTGAAAGTGCACATTATGTCTGTGGGTGATGGTGGGTGGCGCGTTGTCGAAAGAGATGGCCAAAGGGGTCGGCAAGTCCGTGTCGAACTCGCCTCTGCTTAAGTGTGCAGTGGCTGGCCAAGACTTGAATGTGTGCCGTCTTCTCATGGCTGTGGCAAGTACATGGGTTTGCTATACAAAATTGATAGCATTTTGCGCCGTCTGAAGTGGTGTGATCTTTTCTAAAGCGGCGAGATGGTGCTGAATGATAATATTGAAGCCAAACTTGTGGCTCACATGCGTGACGCGATGCTAATCGAGCCCACGCAAGGTGTACTCGATGCCAGCTCGCACAACTATCCGCCTCACGGAAAGTTTTTCGTGATATGTAGTTTTTAGATGGATTGTTAGCTAGTTAGGTAACTAACTTACAATGGCTTTTGTGCTCGTGATAATGTCAGATTGAGATTAATCTAGGTGTTGGATCCGAGAAACCTCAGGTACTGAGTAGCGACCTTACTCACAAAAACGTGACTATCAACGCCGGCTATCGATCATAGATCAAGATATGATTGTCGTGGACTCGATTAGAAGTTACTCATAAGTGGATACGGGATGCTGCTCAACTACTGTCAATAAGGTTGGATAAAATTTTACCCTATTCTTTATCTCATTTACTCAGTGTATTTCTACCATAAAAGATAGTGCACCTATTTGTAAGTGTAAGGATCACTTGTTGCTGACAAATAAATGAGTTGTGCACTGGGACAACTCACCCATTCGTCAGCAACAGAGCTCCTTGAGCTCAGGCCTGCCAGAGCTCAAGAAAGTCTTCGCTGTACCTTGCCATGAATAGTAAAAGTACGGAATTTAATTTCTTCTTTTATTATAAGGGTCAGTACAGCCTTTTAGTCGTGACTAGTAGCCGAAAAAGCCCTCCTACCAGCGCTCCTGTAGACGGGCATTACTACGAAGTTGCCTCGTGCTACGAGCACACACCTTATGCACAAGCGAGGAAGCGGTTAGACCGTCTTACCTTCGCGTGCGAGGTTGGTTATGTGGTTGGTCGACTGCTTAAGCAGTCGTACCACCAGTTGCCTCTCACTTAAGCGAGAGTGCAACGAACTTCTAAGACAAGAAGACACCGACGTCACGTAGAATCTTTTCGGCTTCTCGTGCGTGGTGCTTCGGTGTTTAGCAAATTCAAGACTGAGCTTTATTAATGGATTATAACTAAATATATATATTTAACTACGAATTGGCTATATATATATTCGGATACGCGACTCTCTAGAAGCGTATCCTGTCGCATGAGCTTAAATCTAGATTTAAGCTTGCTAATGACGTCCTTCGGAGACGTCGCGATGCCTAGCTTCAACTAGCGTCATCTCTTCTCATGTGAATCCATCAATGGATATCACATTCACGAGGGTGGATCACCTTTGTGTATCGCACCCAAGTGACAGGTCAAAAGTAATCATGGATACTTTTAGACCAAAAATTAAGTATATTACTTTATGTTTACGTGTAACTAGATGCCCTGTTACACCAGGGGGGAACCCCCATCTGCTTGAGTTGGGTGAGAATAAGCAGACTGCTGCCGACTACATGTATATGTCGTATATGGCTACGCTGTATATAGCGCAATCCGTTCAGGAGTCCGTGATACTCCGCTACAATTTAGTCACCGAGTTGCGATATGACACACTCGTCATCCAGATAATTTCATGTAGCGACGAGCTGCCCCCGATGCGTACTAGCATCTAGCCTTCTCCGCCTGGTCCAGGATTCCCTCGTGATCCACCATCAAAAAATAGAATGAGTGTAGGGTAGCTGGAAAGTAAACTTGTATATCCTGGCCATGTATCCCCAGGTTGCGTTAGCAATCATGGCAGAACGCGTATGCCTCTTTTACCGCAGGCACCGCCTCTGACTCAATTCTGACCAGAGTAAGGTAAGACGATAGTAAGCGCATTGTTACAATGGCCGCCATTTCGAAAAGGTATGTGTCCTTTTCTGAATCCCGATATAAACATCGTCGCCTCCAAATGCTCTGTAGAGTTGTTATCGCTCCAAGTTTCCAAAAGGCCTGGATCGCATCAAATAACTCCACCAGCACGCTATCCCTGTGACCTATTGGTAACGCTGCAAAAACCGCGTCTCTTCTTTTCCATTCCGCCACAGGAGCCGCAAGTTCCAACAATCCAAGATACTCCAGAGCAAGCCTAAAATGTGTGGTACGGAGTCCCTGTCGTATCGGCACATTCCTCAATAGGGCAGTTAAAGATTGTGTGGTGACATTCCAAGCACCAAAGTCTCTGAGTTTTAGCCTGTACAGGACCTAATGTCCTCATTCTGTCGCACCAATAATGCGGCCAGTGTCTACTCACTTCATTTGTTGCAATGATTGGCTGACGTCCATGTTCTCCTGTTCCCACTTGTTTTTATCTAGATCCGCAATTGCCTTGCGTCTCTCACGAGCTTGAGCCCGCACTTTGTATTGCTATCGGTTGTATCCAACACGTTTACCCCCGTGCCACACACAAACGTATCTGGAAAGCGACGGGTGTGGAAAGATGGCGTCTACTTGATCGTCGTCGGTGGCGAAAGACGCTAAAGAGATCACCTTGCGCATGGAATGAGCAACCCCCGACATCCAAGGCGGCCTAATCAGGATCGACAATGCTAATGATAACTATTTTTTGTTGTTCTCCTTGAGTAGACAGCACTTGAATTGGTCGCTCATTCGCAACGGATAGCAGGCGAAGCTCACTCGGATATGAACTATTTTGGAGGTCTGGATAAAATGCGAGCAGAAGTAGGATGAATATGAACTCCATATCGTTCTTCAACGCCAAAGGCCTATGAAAAGTAATGGTCCCAGCCCCAGTGCTTTTTCATGTGACATAATCACAAATGCAACAAGAAAAACTAATTGCTCGACTAGTTGTAGTACACCAGCATCTTCCCAATTTCATACTTTTGGAAAGGCGCATCCAATGCTGAGACAAGGAATCCATTCTGAGCACAATCGTCCGGTCTCACAGCGCATTGATCGCCTTATACCTTCGAGTACACCCTCTGTATACCTGAGTATTTTTATTGAGCAGGTATCATCGGTCCAGTCCAACATGTTAGCCGGATGAGTTTGATAATGTCTGTATAGTTGTAATTTCATTCCCTCGACTGCAGGCTGATGGTCGTAAAGCCCAATATGTTTCAATAGAGAAATACCGGCCTTCCAAATGTTCGCATGAGGTCTGAAAACGGCTGGTAGGCGTCCTTTGTATCCCAATGAGAGATAAGCTGCTTTGATAGAGGCATCTTTATAGCCAGTGCAAAGGACATCGCCAAATGTATGCTGTAACTTGGTACCAGCCAGCATCCACTTTTGCAATGTGGGGGCATCAAGTGTAAATCAGTTTACTCCGGAGATCTGGTGCTCCAAGTCACCAACCTTTCATAGGCATCATTGCTAGTTCCTTCGCCATCCATGGCTTGCGTTTTGGGTCATGCTCCGCAAATAAACCGGTCTAGACAAATTTTCTAATAAGACGGTCATAGCGCTTCACTATTCCTGTAGTAGGCAGTAATGGCGAGTGATATAAAGGGGCTTTGGTAGTATGACCGCAGCTGCGACTTTTGATCTCTGCCGAACTGAAAGTGTTTTTGACTCCTCAATCTAATGCGAATGACGAGTTGGTGCTCTACCGAAGCCCTAGCTGCCTCCACGTCATGTTTACAACTCACTGTAATGCCAAGATAGCGAGTGGTAGCTCTAGTGTTCTGTAGCTGAATATGGCTTACCCATGTGATGGCGTCGCTGAGTCCGTCCCATAATGTAATGGTATGGCTAATGTTTTGCTTCCATTCAGACGAAGACCTGAACCTGCTCCGAAGTCACAAATAACGTCTAAGACTTTGTTTAGATCCGCCGGGTGGCTCAAATAGACTGTGGTAGCATCAGCATACCCAGCCATTCGAAACGCCGGTGATGCTGCTTCAGTATTCACTGAAATTACAGAGTGAACGACACCCCCATCCAGCCTTGAATATAACGGTTCTAGTGCGAGGATGAATAGGCAAGGTGCCAACGGACATCCTTGCCGGATATCCCTTGTAACTTTTATTCGTGATGAGAGGATACCATTAACTAAAAACCCTACACTGGTGTTTGTGTATAGCACTCTTATAACTTGGATCAAACGTGGTGGAAAACCGTGTCGCGTAAGTGCCTTTATCATGAAATCTCGGTCAAGGCTGTCATAAGCCTTAGCAAAATCCAACAGTAAGACCAACGCATTACGCGCTTCCGGCCTGTAGCTCGCCATCTGTCGTGCCACAGCATAGCAGTCCAGAGTGGTGTAAATCGTGCGTCCCGGGACGAACCCACATTGGAACTGATTAATTCGCTCGTTTAACACTTTTCGTACAGCCGTTGTGACGATTTGCATGATAACTTTATGATCCGAATTGAGCGGGTTTCCCGAATCTCCAGAAATTTTTAAGCAAAAAGTATTGGCCTTAGTGAACGATGCCGGAAATAGTTGTTGCGCATACCACTGGCGACATAGTATGGTAAGGATCGGAGTCAGTTCCTCAATAAAATCTCGATAGAAATCGTTGCCCAGTTGATCCGGGCCACAAGCTTTTTCCGGTTTGCAGGCGCGAATTGCCTGGGCTACTACGGAATTTACTTAATCAATTGTCAGAAAAAGGAATATATAGGCGTCGGAAGCTTAAGTTTGTTCATTTACTTCGTGCAATGTCACCCCATATTACTAATAAAGGATTAAATGTGTAACGGGCCAATAGCTACACGATTCCGTCAAGTATCGAATACTTAACGAACGGGAATAAAAGGGCACGAGGTACCTTAGACCTTCCACTTGGGCAAGGCACATCAATGTGATCCACCCTCGTGAATGTGATATCCATGGATGGATTCAGATTCAACGGAGGTGACGCCCAGCTGGGACTAGGCGTCATGTTGACGTTACAGATGGACGCCATCAGCGAGCTTAAAAATTGTTAAGATCGCACGTAGGGATACGCCTCTAAAGAGACGCGTATCTGATCTTTATTTTAGACCAATCAGTAGTTAAGTTTATATTAAATTATTTTTAATCAAATATAGGTCAGTCTTGATTTTACTAATTATTTTCTACTGCACACGAGAAGCTGAATGAGCTTCTGCGTGTAGCAAGTGAAGTACTTGTTTTTAAAGCTTCGTTGAGCAGATCGCTTTAAGCCACCGGTAACGGTTAGTACAGCGCTTTAGCTCCACCAACATCCCCACCTCCGCAACGCGGGGGTAAGACGGTGTACCCGCTTCCTCACGCTGCTTGAAGGTGTGCGTTTGCGTAGTACGTGGCAGCTTCTTAAAAGTGCCCGTCTACACTTGGTAGAACTAGTTGTTCTTCTCACGACCCGTCTTTCTAAGAGTGCGTTGTTACGAATGTCCCTCAGTATGAATTGGGGGATTTAACTCACTTCTCCCAACATCATAGGGAGTTGGCAAAGCATATGGCGCAGGGACTTGCCGATAGTATAAGGTATA